AGTTAGTATCGACGGGTATATTATAGCGAGTTGTATTTGCTACGAATGTGTGTTTTATAATATTATTTGTAAAAATTTGTGTCACCAGTGAACAAAATATAATAAAAGTTAGATTAAATTTTAGTGTTATAGTTTTATTCAATTTTAATATTTAATTATGCAGAACAAATTTAAAGCAGCAATTGACAAAATTGTCAGCACTAAAAAGAGAGGTGACAATATATTTTATTTTAGTTCTGAAGAATACAACAACAAGATTCAAAAAATAAAAGAATTAAAAATTGGAACACTAAAAAAAAATGGTAACGAATAACAGATTTATACGTAAATATGATGTTGTGTCAATTGGGGGAAAAGAAAAATTGATTAAACCTATAGTTGATAATGAATCTGACGTTTTATATTACGTCACAGTAGACGAGTTGTTTGAAGTAATTCACACCGCACATTTAACAGTATGGCATGGTGGTAGAAATAGGATGATGGCTGAGTTAAAAACAAAATATTGTAATATGACAACGGAAGCAGTTATGGCATATTTAGGTTTATGCAGTAATTGTCAAGTAAAACAATCAAATCCGAAAAGAGAGTTTATGACAAAACCAATTATACATTCCGCATTTAATTCAAGAGCGCAAATTGATTTGATTGACATGCAATATCAAAATTATAATAATTATCGATATATAATGAATTATCAAGATCATTTAACGAAATTTGTTATTTTAAAACCTCTGAAGACAAAAAGGACCGAAAAAATCGCTTTAAATCTGATAGATATTTATACAATATTTGGTGAGCCCGCTATACTCCACTCGGATAATGGTCGTGAGTTTGTTAATTCTATTATAACAAATTTAAATGAAATGTGGGGAGACATCAAAATTGTGCATGACTAGCCTTGTCATAGCTAGACCCAAGGATCAATTGAACGAGCGAATAAAGACGTTGAAGAAATTTTGGCTTCTTGGATGGCTGATAATAAATCAAAAGACTGGCCAATGGCATTAAAATTTGTGCAATTTCAAAAAAATCGGGCTTTGAACTTAGATAAGCTATTATTTAAAAACAATTTTTTTTTTAAATAATTTTAATTTTAATTAATGAGTTAACTTATTTTAAATTTAAACATGTTTATTAATAAGTATTGGAAAATCACCATACGAGGCGATGTCAGAAGAAGATATTGAAGAACTTTTTAATAACAGCAACTATTCAGATCATATTAATGCAGTAAAAGATGATTTAGTCAGTATTGGAGATCTTGAAAATGAAATAAACTTGGAGACTGAAAATGAATTAAGAAATACTAAAGACATAGGTAATTATTAAATATTTATTATATGTAATCTGGTAAAAATGCTTGCATATTTCTTCATATTTAATGGTATATTTAATATTGCATATTAAACCGAAAATTTTAAAAAATAATGTATAAAATAATAAATCATTATTTATTTTTTATTATTACTTAATTTGTAAATTACAAAAAAATAAAAATAAAATAGCAATCGTCATATATTTACAGGTAAAATGAATGAAAAAATTAAAGACCAACGATAAAAATCGGTTATCTGTCTTGAAAAACAAGCGTCAAAAATGTTGAGATGGACTAACGAAAAATTTTCAAAGCTTGATGTCGGTTCAACTGTTCGTGTCCCAATACCAGATGTTGATAGAGCACGAGGTTCTCCGCGTAATTTACTTGCTGTTATTATTTCATGCGAAGATGACATGACATGTATAAATTATGTAAGCCAATTTTAATTTGATAATGTTTATTTAATTTAAATAAAATAAATACCCGAATGTTTGAACCGGGTACATAATATGGGGTGTTAAAACACAAATATACACGAGCACAAATTCTCCATGTAAATTTCTCCATGTAAAGAAAAATTTCTAGAACTAGATGAAGCCATGAAAAAAATTAAAGACAGGCAAATAACATTAAGAGAAGCAGCAGGACATGGAATAGCTCGTCATCAAGGATTTAATCGATGCAACTGCAAAACTGGTTGTGATACTAAAAAATGTGCTTACAATGCAGCGGAAATGTTGTGCAGTTCAAAATGTCATAGTAACCAAAATTGTACAAATAAATAATTTGTAATATACACGTATTTTATTATTTTATTATTTTTTTATTTTAACAATAAATCATTATTATAAATAGTACCTGTTGTAAAAAAATCAGTGTATTATTTGAGATTTATCATCATTTACCACTAATTTTGGTAAATTACATCAATGACCGGTAAAAGATGTACATTTGAATTTAAAATCTGGTTTTTTACATCATTTACTACATAATCGAATCATTTTGGTAAAAGACGTCATTCACCGGAGAATGACTACATTCACCAATATTCATCTTTTACCGTAACATATACATATAAATATTACTGAGTACTTTTTATGTTTTTTTATTTTTGTTTCATTTTTTAATTTTGAATGTATTAGAGTTATTTGATTCCATTAAAGGTGATTATAATATTGTATAAATATGTTACAATAAAGCGTTTTTAATAGGCATTAGACTTGTATTTATTTTGCAATTTTTTTAAGTTGATGGATGATTTTCAAAAAAATTTGTTTTCATAACCAAAAACACTTTTTATTTTGTTAAATTTATAAATTACAATTTACAATATAATACATAACTAATTAAGGTATTTATATTTTATAACGTTAACTTATAAAAAAAAAAACTATCATATGACTTTTAAGTTGTGGCTTTATCTAATTTGTAATACATATTATGTACCTACGTCAATTGTTTTTATCAGTTGTCAATTTTATGTATAATGATTCAATGGTCATTATTAGAGTAAGTTGTTTTCAGCAAACGTTATCCATTTCGTTGAAAAATAATAGTTTAAGTAATTTCGTTTGCTGAGTATGAATAATCTAAAAAATTGTTTAAAATGTAACTAAACAAAATAGATACAATAATAATTGGTTGCAGTACATAAATTCATATTTTTAAATTCCAAGTAAAATCAGTATAAAAAATAAAGCTATTATTTTTACTTTAGTAGCCAATAAAAATAATAGAGCTTCATGCAAAACCACTTTCTTCGTTGACCAAAAAATAACTCAGACTATTTTGATGGAAAAAAGTGATATGCATACGTAGGACAAGTTTCCTGTGATAGGTAGAATTAAATAATCCATTTCCGAGACGGCTAGTCATTGTTTGTTTTTTCTTCTTTTTTTTTCAAACAATCATAAAAGTCAATGAATTTGTTAGAGTAAATATGAACAGTGAATATAAGTCACGACTATTATTTAAAATCAATGTACGCACCACCACTTCACTTTATCAATGCTTAGCAATAGCAATTTCATTTTCATAATATACTACAAACAGACCGTACTTTTTACGTTTATCAAACAGCTGTCAATGTTCAAATGTGATACTCCGATTGATCTATATTCTAAAGATAAGAAAATAAATTTGAAAACTCGTTCGAATTCGTCGTCGAATAAACGTTTTGTAATAGATCATCTTATTCCATGTGAATTTTTTTCGACCGATTTCCTTAAAATTATTTCGACCGTTGATAATTTGAAAAATCAGTTTCCAGAACACGTTTTTATAGCGTCTTTTGACTGATCGGCGCTAGAACATGACGCTGAATCGTATGCAAATGACAATAACTAATAACTGTAAAAATCGTATTACAAACTACGTGAACTGGCAAAACATTAACGGCCAATAGCGAGTTGTGAATGTACGCGTGATCGTGTACCTTTCGCCACGTAGTCTCCATTTGTTTCGTTTTTTCCGGTGATCACAAAAATAAACGCAAAACCGTGACTGTAAACTGTGATGTTTTAACATACCAATGCCGTACGTAACAATCAATTGTAAGTTGACGCAGAAAAATAGTATGCATCGTGTTGTAAAACACGCACGATCCGTTTTACTTTTGGACTTTTCTCATATTCACATATCCCATAATATTTTTTTTTTTTTTTAACGTCCCCGACTACATATAAATTCAAATATACTCGGTAACGTTCAAGGTGGCATTACGAACCGTTTAATCATCGTAATATGATATAACAATAAAATAATATAAAAATAACGTACCATATCCATATGCGTATGGAATTAATGTGTGATTTCGCTTTGGTGCGAAAACGTCCGCTCGGGCGATGGCAATATGTCGTAGTCCAATATTGAATCACAAATTGCATTCGTAAAAACGAAAATATAGCACGTAGACAACTTGTAAATATCGTATACGCGATTATTATGGTTGGATAAATGGTAAAGAACGAACTTTCAGAGCTTTCTGCCGCTTAATTTGTTATTGTACTGACCGTCGGTTGACTAATGTGAGTTATACAATTCGACAAACGTAATTATTTTAATTTTTAAATACTGAGTGAAAAAGGAACGTATTGGATGTAATATGTTGTATTTTCTGTTTTGCGTTTCGGTGTACACGAATCTACTAGCACAATTGTTCAGATTATCGTAATAATACGAGGTTCCCTTAGAATATGTTGTCTAGATGGTACTTTGTGGAGGTAATTCTGTGAAATTCTCAATATTTTCTGTAATAATCTGAAAACAAGCAAAAAACAAAACCAGAAAATTTCCCATATCGATCCATCCAACATATTTTAATCCGTATCTTTCTTATAAACAATTATTTAATATTAAAAAAAAATCAGTAAAGCAATATCATCCCCTGTACCAAACCTGATCGTGGAGTTCCACCTGACCTAGGAGTTTCGTTCTTTCTTTTTTTTATTCAAAAATATATTATCTATTGAATAACAACGTTTAAACTAGATATTTATGTGTAATAAAGGATACGCCTTATCACTATAATGCAGTTTATGTCTCGAATATTTTGTGATAATTAATCACAAGAACACTCGTAACAGCAATAAGTATTAACAATTGTAACTATTGTGTCTAGGACGATTTTTTTTCTTTCTTTATTATCAAAAATAATAATAATAACAAATCTATACAATATAATAGGTACATATTTTTAAGGTTTATATAATTTATTATACGCAAATGGTGCCTTCGGTTTGGTAGCCAAGTAGAAATTACCTTTGATCCTATTTTGATGGGAATAAAATTATTGTATTAGTTTTGGCATCACTATATATAGACTTAAGAATAATTTACTGTTTGTTGACTGCTAATCCCATATATTGAATCCTTTGGTCCTCGGCGTATGCAAAATCTTTGAAACATGTACCGTCGGTGAACGATTGATAGTTTAGACATCGCAATGAAGGAAACCCAACTGGGTTGATAACGGATTCAGCAAAATATTCCCACGCTCTGTCATGACTGCAAGCCACTAAAAAATTCCGTCAAAGTTTCATATTAGATATTTTTTGACATTATTGTGTTTTTGTTACATTTAAAAATAAATAATTTTTAAACTTTTACACTGTAATAAATAATGGGTAAATCACTCGAAGACAAAAAAATGAGTCAATTAATAAATAATAAATAAGTATACATAATAAACGAGAATATTTAATTTATTGTAACCTATTGATTTCGAGTAATTCAATGCAAAATCTAAATCATATGTCTAAAAAAACGAGCACTTGTTTTGTGAAGTCTTTTTTTGAACAACTCAATAAAACAAGCATTTTGTTACAAAATGACTTCTGTACTTTATTGTGTAACCGAAATAATAACATGGAAAATTATTATTCTCAATCCACTTGGTAGACAAACACATTTATACACTCGAAATCGATTTTTAGAACCGTCGATGCTTCAACAAACGCATATTAAAGTAATAACAATAAGTCATATTCTTATTATAGTAATAGTACACTGAAGTTTCTTTATAGTTTCTATGTTTTCACACTTCATAATACATAATGGATTCGAGTTAAGTAATACCTACGTTTCCTTTTGTCAAAGTGAAACAAACTACAGGTGCCCATAGCAACGAAACACTTATTTTGCCCGACGTTCATGTTAAATCCTGGTGTCGGAAAACTATTTACAATTTTTCAAAAGTTTGCTTCGGCAAACTTTTTACATTTAGAATTTCACCTTAGTTTTAAGCTGCTTAAATATTTCAAACACGATAAACGAACTGTTCTTGATACTAAATGTACGTGATCTACAGCAACATTTGTGTAAACTAAATAATTTTGTTGTGTAAAGTAGTTTATATTTTTTATCTTATTAAAATTAATCACTCACATTTATTATAATTGATAATTCGTAGTATATACGTACTTAATTCTATTTTCAGTTATAATTATTAGATGCGTACAAAATATAAATATACACTCTTAAAATCAAATCATAATAGTTTTTCAACACAAAAAAAAATTATTTTACTCCTATAGCACATCATAAAAATTAAAATGTATACTAACAATATTTTAACAATATTTTAATTTTGGATTAAAATCTTAATGGTCAAATTATCTTTATCTTTATTCTATAAAAAGGTTATTTACTAATTTAAATTCATAATATTACTTTCTCCTTTTTATTAGGAAGTCCATAAATGTTATATATATATATGTCGCAGCAGCAGTCTAACAGTTATTGTTTACACATATATGTTCGTTTTTTAAAAAGTTGTTTCCACTCTCTTATTGCGTTCTGATAGTTTGTAATCCCGTTCCGATAATTTATAATGGATTCGTGTGTTATTTGCTCACTTTCTTTAAAACGTGTCAAACCGATTGTAATACATATGCTTTATATAGCATATTTCACCTAAAAGTTTTCAAAATTCTGGGTACATTTCACCATTTAAAATGTAATCAAACTTTTAAGAGTTTAATTTAGTTTTAAACTTTCAAGTAATAATTATATGAAAAAAAAACTCCAAGACAACAAAAATACTTTCAAAAACTTCGTATAGAATTAAACACATGCTGTTAAAATGGTAAATACAACTAACCAATAAAATATTTTTCCCTTCTCTACATCTGACTTCGAAATGAGTTTTCATAATTTACATATAATTTACATCCATGACAGATTAACTCTAAATAGCATTCAAACTCCAGATATGGGTGTCTTCATTGCTGTCAAATCTCTTTTAAATAGTTAAATTCTAAATTTCAATGTTAAAAGTCTTGAACATGTTTTTAATTAATTATATTTAGAGTTAGGTTAAGGACCTTTAGTTCGTTCTAACTTAGAATACTGTCTTTTAATCTGCTTAAATAATACACTGAAACAAAAATAAAATGCTACAATTAGTTCAAAATGAACTTTTACTAGTTATTTATTTTAAATTAATTTTTTTTTTTTTTTAGGCATCCCCGTAGTTCTTACAATGTCATTTTAAACATCCTTTATCTTATCTCATTAAATAACTTTTGTTTACTTCTACTATCAAAATGTTTACATAAATTGTTATCTGGCGTTATTGACTGTCTAGAGTTGTCGTCTTTAATTAATTTTAAAATAAATAGTCTAAACAGGAAACGTTTTGCTATTTTACGCTGTTTTTTCAAATAAAAATTATATTTTGAACTCTCCCCGTAACATTTTAATGAGTGTAGTTAATACATACATATATTTTATTTTTTATTATATTTATTTTATTTTATGTTTATAGTCAATAATTTATCTTTAATTTTCATTATTTCATTATGTATATAATAAGTTAGATAATTGTTAAATAATTTATATTCAATAATTAACAATGTGACCATATTATGTATCATAATTGAATGTGATTTATGTGATAGGAAATAAGTTCATATATATTTTTAAAATAAAATAAAATAAAGTATATCTGTCACTACAATTTTTAGTTAAATTAATTTAAATTGAAAAATTTCATTATACAACTTTTAATATTTTTCTTTTCAAATAACAAGAAATATTGGTAAAATATTAAATTACTTGAATGAGTTAAATTAATTCATGTTCGTATAAAACTTAATATGATATATAGTATAAATTTTATCTTAGTAGTTATACTTATATCAACTTACTCCCTATCGATAATAAGTACAATAAATCAATTCTATAAAATGTAATTTGATAAAAATTCTTACAACCATATTTTTTGGTTTTCATATGTTATTTACAATAAGCATAAGAGACATTTTACACACCGAGAAAAAGTTATTAAAATAAAATATAATCTATATTTTTTGTTACATTTTGAAAAAATATATCTAATTAATTAAATATTTAATTTACTATCAACATTTATATTAATTTAATTTCCAATAAATAATATAATAATATTTTTATTAATTTTTATAATATTATATACAGAAATTACATTCGATATAAATATTATATCAATACATTTATAAATACACCAAATAAACTTTTAAAATTATTTCTTTCTTTTGAATAGGTTACAACTATAAAGTGTAAAAGCAGAAGTCATGTTTGATATTTTGGAAACGTGTATAATAATAACAAATAAAATATTAAAAAAAAAAAAAAAAACATAAGAAGGTTTTCAAATAAAAATTATAGCAAAATTTGATTTCATCGTCAAATCATTGAAAATTATGGAATACTGTTTTTTATTTCCTAGTTGAAATTTAAATTTTGTCAAAATAAATATATAATTAATATAATAATTTTGTTATAGTTACTTTAAATTGACATCAAAAGTATTTAATTAAAAATTTAAATACCATGAGTGATTTTATGTCACTTTGTTCAATTTATATTTTTTTCCCAAACTGTATTTTCAATTAAAATAATGATTCCTAAAATATTATTTACAAAAAGATCTATTAAAATCCATGTTGTTATCCACAATTAAAATCCAAGATAAACTTTTCTCCCGCCTATTAATGTATGAAACTTATCTGTAAGATGCTCGGTAAATTTAAAAATTATTTATTCGACCATTAACAAGAGAAAAAATAAAGAACATTTTATCGAGATCAAAGATAACACCACCAACAGATATGATATAAATATCCTATAAAAAAATGCTAAGAAGATACGTGAACACGTTACCAAGGGGTTAGGACTATTGTGAAATTTCGAACGAGAGGAAACCGCGTTTCGAATATTTCCATATTATGCGTTTGCGTCTCGACTTTTCGTGGTGTGTGTGAAAAATCAGGTGCTTAACGATTTCAACGGAGAGGAAACTCGAAGAAAAAATTTTACCGGAACCACGGATGACTGGGACTGAGATTTTATTATTAAACCGGAAATGTGTTTCAGAGCAGTAACCTTATGATATTACCTAGTCAATATTGAAAATAATGTTATTAGGCTCCGGTATAAAATTCTAAAAGGTTTCCGCCTACGTGACTAGTAAATGGTTTTCTTAACAAGCTACTTGCATCATGACATTTGCGTATATTATTAGAATAATAATAATAGTTGTTTACAGTATTTGATTAATGAAAATAATTGTTATTAATGTGTTTCTACTGTGACGAGAATCGTAAAAAATGTCAATTAGTTTGTGGCAGTTGTTTACATGTTCTGTTCGACATCACACGTGCGAGTGGTGTGCATTACAGTACATATTACATTACGCATGATACGCATGATACGGTCACAGTGGCATCACACATAGGTCGATTCAATCGAAGACCGACTTCGGTCAAACTATCTCAATCATATTATAAAAGTAAATATTATACATGTTGTTTTAATGACCACAGATTACACCGACATCGGATATCCATCAAACGAAATTCAGTTTCGTTTTTTTCATCGGCCGATTTGGTCGACGAGTTCAAAATCGGAATCTCTTTGGAAGTTTGACTGCTTTGGATTTTTCTCTTAAGTTTTAGAACGTATAATAAAAATTTGATTTATTCATTCTCAAATGATTGAAAAAATCTTCATCCCATTCCAGTAGTTGGCGAAACGATGTATGGAATTCTCCATACTTATCCCCCTATCCACAAGAATTTCGTGTGACATTTTTCGCTTTTTTACTAATGAATATTTAATAGAAAGATATTTTTTCGAACACAAAAGTGAAGAGATATCAAACATGCACTCGTTGCATTGAAACGAACGACTGTCGGAGGTGCTGTTGGTCAAGTTTGTCGGCCCACGTCCGAACCATCCTGTCGACCGACGTCTGACGAAAATTATCGAACGACCGATGTCGGTGCCGCTTTAGTCTTTTTTTGCGAGGGAGTGAACTGGCATACGAATGCTTGTGCCCGTTTGCTGTAAGCGAGATATGCAGTCGGTGCGGGGAAACGGGAAAAACGGTATACTCGCCCCTTCCGTACGAACGTGTATCAGTGGTGAAGTGAAACGTACACAAGTGTGTATACGGCCGTATAACGATTTCTTCATTTTTTTTCGATTGATACTTATGATATTTTGAGACTTTAGCTACACTACAAACCTTAGAGCTACGCACAATATTAAAGAATTTTGATCATTTCTTCTACAAAAATTGAAAATACCAAACATATTTCCTTGCTATCACATTTAACAGGAACAGTTATTATTTACAAATCTACGTATTTATAATTTTATTGCACGGAAATATAGTTTAAAAATCCGTTACACTGATTCAAGTTGCTGCAACAGTCTTAAATCGTATTTTATTGATTTTAAATTCAAATATTTATTTTGCCAGCTAATCTTATCGCTCATGGAAAAAAAAATTGGAAGGGAGATAGTAGGTAGTTAACCTCATTCAATACTTTTAATTGCTGATAACTCAAGATTTTTTCTAGGACTACATTGTTAAACATAATACGAACATACTCGAGTAGTCGGCTAAACACTCGTTTTCTCGCTCCATCTGCACGTATTTGAAATGTAACAATTGTTTTTGGTTTTTTCCTACAGCCACATGTTTTTAGTCCTGACATTGCGGTGCATTACGTGTGGCTGGAAATTTCTTTGTCCGGAAATTCAACGCCAATTTCGATACCTTACAACAATTATATGTTCCTAAATTTAGAAGAACGGAATTGAGTGGCTGCTGGATATATTCGGTGAACTGTAACACGCTAAATGTACACTAATAATAGTATTATTTAATCAGCCACCTGGCCAACGTATGATTTATTCGAAAAATAACTTGGTTCCAAAATTTGATTTGAAAAATATACGACGTACGTTGCATATTGATATGAGTTAGCATTGAAAAAAGTAAAACCCTTACGAGTAATTTGTATATTTGTGTTTATTACTTTGATAGTTAAATTCTATATTAATTATCAAAATGTGTAAGTAACATTATTTATTACTTTTTATTTTTTTTCGTGCGAATTTGACCATGTACAAACAATATCAAAATTGTTATCGAATTGATCGTTAAACATCTTATATTTTCAATTTTCATACATTTTAACGAAAATATTTGTTTTATTTCACGTCAGTGTTAAAATGAACTTCTAAAGCAAATGTGGTGAATGTTTATTTTTCCCTAACCTTCCATTTTTAGTGTGTTATTTTTCAAAAACGCTCGTGAATTACACGGGCCGTGTAATTATTTTGTTCCCACCAGTTCTACACACTAAGCGGTAAATAATGAAAACACCAGTTATTCTTTTTAATTAATTGTAGTATGATGGATATATATCTCGATGTTAAAATTGTTTGGCATATTCTGAAACATATTTCAGCGCTTGTATATAATACGCACGCATGCATATTTTAACACGTTTTTTTTTTCTGCGGGATTTTTGTACTTTTATTACTTCGGGTTCATAAGGGCGTGAACGAACTGTTATAATGTATTGTACGAGTTTTGAAATTATTGCGCAACAGTGGCGCAAAAACTCGGGGATAGGAGAAATAAGATGTTCAGTCCACCCCGGTATTTGTTGTTTTTTCGATGCTAAACGAATATTACAAGTTATTTTTCGAGCTTGATAATAAAGTTGCACTATTTGCTTGATCCACGCAAAAAAAGTAGATTATGAAATTAATGATTATCCACGTTGTACGTGAGCGGAATACCCACGGATTCCAGAACAGTTATCCGCACTGAAACGCAATTATAATTTTAATTTATGTTCAGATCAACTGAATTATAAATTATCCTCCGAAGTCGAAAAATGTTTAAAATTATTGCAAGTTTTGATAAATGTTATTTCGTATAAAAAAAAAAAAATCATGTTTCACTTCATTGGAAGTTTTTAATCGATGATAAATGACCAAGATATGAGTTTTAATTTTCTATGACCATAATTACTTCATAGTCTCTAAATATATACATAAATGGAGACAATTCCTTTATATTTTATCACTGTCCAAGAAGATATCGATCGATTGGGGCATAAACCAAAAAAGTTAAAAACCGTTCGTTACTTGCACGATGTTCAGTTCGATAAACATTAAAAACCTATATTTATTCATTATGTATAAAAGCTAAAATATAAGCTATATGAACTATACTCTACGGTTGATCATAAAATATCATATAACATGCGGGTACCCACTGAATCTGGAAATCAGTCTCCTCTTAAACAGCTCGGGAAATGTACAGCCAGGTTGCAATGGAAAACCGCCATTCGGGAAAAAGTCGGCATGGCCTAGGGCAACGGGGAACCCAAACACACCGCCGTCCGTGTGAATGACGTCCACAAATTCGGCGTCCGAAGGGGCTAAATGGCCCATTTTGCCCGTCCACATATATAACGGGAACGCCGGATCGAGTCCTGTGAAAAAAAAATTAAAAATTGTTTATATTTATACAATATATAATTGAGTATAGAGTTATACTACATACTAAAATCGAATACGAATTGAAAAAAAAAAACAATGGATTTGAAAATGGAATAAAGCCGACTAGAAGATCCGAAAACGATGGAAATCACTGGATAAAAGTTTTGAAATCGAGAGTACGATCGTAAATTAATTTTTTTTTTTACCTATCGGGAAGAATACACGGCCAGAACTTACCATGCGAAAATATTGAAGGTAGGTAAGTGGGCTACAAACATATTACGCGTGGTGCCACGTTGTGACATTGTACCGATTCGATTTGTATACCGTACGGATCATGCCGTAAAACGTGCTAAAACCCCATGATCAGAACGGGAACTTAACGGACTCGGAGGTCGTGAGGATAACGAGTGCAACGGTATGCACCATGTTGTTTAGCGCACATTAGCCCACCGAGGTTAAGCGCTTTCCCACGTGGATCACGGAGCCGTAACGATCCCGGAAAATGACGGTGTAGGGCTGGTGCACGTGTTGGTTTCGACCTCGTAGTAATATAACGTACCGCGCAGCTAGTAGCCATACGTAAAATCGCGCGCGTATACATATTTATAATTAATACGCAGTGAAACATTCTGCGCCGCAGGGACGTTTCGTAAGCGAGCGGCGTACTCGTCACGGCCTGTCTTTCGCCATGAGCGCGACCGCAACGGCACAATACCGCAATCCCTTTCTCGAGGACCGTAAAGTCTCGGCGATCGCTCCGTCGCCCGAAAACCAAAGTCACCACCGCGTGCGCGCGCTTATGTGCGTGCACATAATTATTTCTTTCGAGAACGTTTTGCCGTCAAGGCGTCACTTCGCCGTTACAAGAAATGTTCATGACTATAACAACAAACGTCGTGCTGTGTACGATACAATGTATCGCATAACACATATACTTTTGCGCTGCGTACACATATAATGTACGCGTACAAAACTCGAAACGCTGGTTGACAAAACGTTAAGGCAGCGTGTCATCCCTCCGGTCTATTTTTACGTCCACAGAATGTTATAGGCGCGGAAAGGGTATTCAAAATCCCCTGAAATTTTAATGAAATTTGAAAAAAAGGATTGCTTAGTGTTTTTACACCATTTAAGCTTAATATTATAAACAGGGTTATTTATATAATCCACTGTCGGTCTATCTAGTATTTTAGAAAACTAATTATTGCTAAAATTATTATTTTGTAAAATGAATAAATCTGAAATACGTGAAAGTAAAAATTTTGAATTTCCCACTCAAAAAAAAAAAAAATTCTATACACGTCCCTGTCATGTTATTGTATCGTCTCGTATCGCATTACATTACAGCTCCGCAATGCCGTTCGTCTTCCGATCGCACTAACGTGTCTGTTGATTCGCAAATCCACTGTGTACCCCTATACCTTCTAAATTTTTATTATAAATCAAGTGCGATAACGGTTATGTAACGTGACCTAATTGAAATAAATGTTAGATTTTGGCAGAATCTATACTTTTTTTTTTTTATATGTACAACATTTCTGCCATCTGTTAGATTCGGACTCGATTGAGCGACTACAAACCCGTAAACTATAATATCCAACTTCGAAGAGTGGGGTGGTACCTTTACAAAAAAAAAATCATTCTCGCAGTAGGCCCAAAAATGTTTTTTTCGAATTTTCCTCTCCCGTTTAAACAAGTTTTCGTGTGTTCAATCTTCAACGAATATCGCGTACAATGATATTTAAAATCGATAATTTTACACGAATAGCAAAAGGGTTCTGATTAACCTCATCTAATTATAACTTTCTTTTTTTTTTTTAATTAAATAATTATTTAAGAGATTTTTTTTTATTGATACGATTTGTCTGATTAAAAATTCTCTAATCATGAGAGAACTCTTGGAAAATGTATACTGTCTGTACAATTTTATAATAGTAAACCATTCGATTTTAATAATTTGAGTACAGGGATGAATATTTAATTGAAAGGTAATCCTAACATCCAATTTTCTTTTGAAATATGTATTTGGTGAAACACCTTCACCACTAATTAAATGTCCAGAAAAGTGAATTTTTAATTACTTTTATTTTAAATTTATTTAAGACGATTCCAACGGCCGCCGGCTACAACTTGATTTAACCGTTTGTTGATAACAATATTTTCAAATTTAGGTACAATGAAATTAATTAATGTTTCAGTTGTGATGGAGTATATTAAATTTTCTGTTGATTATGCTAGTATACTACCGTGGTGCGAATTATTATCCGAATTGTGTATTATATTATTATTGTTAAAACTAATTTTAACCACGAATGCCTGTACGAAGCAGAAACACTTTTCACAATGCGAAACTTTGATTGTTTGTATTTATTTTGACGATTACGTTATAGTTAACGTGCAAACGTTAATTGATAATAATTATTTTTAAACCGTTCAAATGTGTTTGAACACTAGCAATGTTCTTCAATTGTTATTTAAATGTTAACTCAAAATATTATTTTTCTTCCGCATTTTCGGGTTGTAGTTATGAAAAAAAAAATATCCATATGCTTATGTACTAGTACTCCGCACGGTCCGGTCTGTATCAGTCCGGTTTTATCGTATAAAAATAGGTGAAGGATCGGTTCGGCCCGAATCAATATTTTTTTGAATGATTTTGGTCCGGTCCTGGTTTAAACTATAATAATTTCGATTCGGTCTGGTTTCTAAAATATAATCAGATCGGTCCTGATTAGTTTAAAATGTACGGCTAATATTACGGCTTGTTTTAAATCTAATATCTATTGAACAATGATTTAAAATAATAAAGACATTATTTATAGAATTAATAATACGAATATTATCATTATAGTCCATGGGAATCTATATTTTACCGCAGCATCGTTGTTCTATATAAATTATATGTACTATCATGTATACTGTATATATCTCAAATCTGTTCATGGTACCTATTGGCTATTAATAATTTATTATCCAACATATTTTCAAAAAAAAATATTATTATTATCGTTATGGTGCGGGTAACGTGAAATATTATGGAAGTGCCACTCCGTCTAAGTATATAAATGTATACAACTACCAATGAAGTACTCACACATTATGATCTTAAATTATATTAATTATAGTTTATCTATACATTATTTTGGGGAAACAGAGATCAGAAATGAAGTGTAAACTTTTAATTTCTATCCATTCTCATCGATGATGCCGGTAAGCAGTAATACTTGGAAAATAGTCGATTAGCCAGGCCAGATAGCAAGTAGTTCGATATTTCCACGTAAAATTCTTTATAAAAATAATTAATACTTAATAATGAGATAAACACGAGTTTAGTATAATGTAGTATATATACCTAATATACCTATACTACCTATAAAATATAAATTTACTATAGTCTATTTTCGTGGTGCAATATTTTTTTAGTTTGGATCGTTTGTCCGCTCTATCATATTATGTTATACTTGGGGTCTTGTATGGTAAAAAAAAAAATAGGTTGACGGTCCGGTTCGATCCGGTCCATAAGCTATAATAGTCCGAAATTTATCAGTTCGGACCGGCGGTCCGGTCTCGGTCCACTCTAACAAATTATTTTAAATTTTCATTCGGGCCCGGTCCCTAAAATTACGGACCATGCAGAAAACTATTATGTACACATTAAGTTACGTATTTTTAAATTCATTGCTCAGTATTTATGTATTGCCATAAGGCGTACCAGAACAACTAAAATCGCGTGGTATTATTTCAAACACATTAAGTAAATACATAATTTTATCATAAATTGTCTGGTCGTTTTAATTTTTTTTAAATAATCAGATTTATGAGTACTAGACACCAACAATATGCAAATTAAAATTATTTTCGTTTCAATTCACAATTAACTATAAATGTGACTCGTGCTAATGTCATGCGCAAAATAAGAATTTCTATCGTTTGTAGCACTAAGAACTAGTTATGATTGACTACCGACAATTTTAGATTACCCATGTTTAATGATATGACAGACTGTTGAATAAATATGCAAAATATAGCTATTGTAAATACAATAATTTATACTGCGTAGTCATGATATTACTATTATTTGTTAAAATATTATAAATATGTGTAATGGTCATAATAATATATGGTTTTAAACCATAATAATGAACACCAATATGAATAGTACATATAGCGGAAGTCAGTAAATTATAAATGTTATAATATTCAAATGTAAATGTAGATAATAATTTCAAATAACTGTAATGCTGTGAAATATGCAAATAGTTTTAAAAAAAAAAAAATTAAAATAATATTGTACAAAATATCTTTTATGAAGTCATAAAAAAAAAAAAAAATCAACTTTTAGATATTATCAGTTTATTGAAAAGAAAATGTTGAGTTAATATAATATCATAATTATTTTTTTAATGGATGAAAATTGTATCTCAATTTTTATTCGAAATTGCACAAGTTTAATAATGTAATACTCTTTATTACATTTTCTTATACACGATACTTTAATAATTCATATTATATACGTAAACTTGCCATACAATATTAAGTACTTGGTCAGAAATATACCGACCCTTTTCTGCAAATATTTATTATTTATAATTGGTGTATAAGATATTCACTTATATAAGATTGTTTATGCATAGATAATATGTATTTAAATGCTGAATTACTCTGAAATATTTTATTCACATAACCTTCAACTCATTTATGAAATCAATTTTAAATACGCATACATATATTAATAAATGTATACAAACGTGATAAATAGTTTAAACATATTATTTTTTAATAATTTAATTTTTTAAGCGTACATGTGTTGCACAAAAATATTTTAAATAATAATATATAACAATGGGGATTACTGTGACTTCCATAATTTACTCTTATATTGTCCATCACTCTCTCAGAGTAAAGTAATCAACTAATGATCCTTTTTTCAACCTTTGGTATTAGCTTTTCCCCGACTACTGCTATCTCAACCAACAACATAACCATTATCAAAGGTATAATTAAGTTTATATTAGGATTCGGTTAAAAATGTAGGAGTGCGACTAGTGTGAGCTTTACAAATATTTTTTTTTACTGTCTGTACTAATCTTACAATTTTATATAAGTTAAATGCCGTTATAAAAAAAAATTTTAATGTTAAGATGTCGACAAAAAAAAAAAAATATATGTATATTTATATAATCATACCCAACATAAAATTTGTATTTCACGTGATTCAATCATCTCATGAAATCGATCTTTCCCATAAAAATAAACATCCTTCAAAGTTTTATCAGTCGTTTATGATTAAGTTACTTTCAGTTATACTCCTCCTGAGACCGGTTGCCTATCATAATTCAGATGTTTAATCAGTGTAATGCACGTGGCACGTTACCACGAGAAAATACATAGAGAATAAAACTAATTCGACAAATTACACGAACTAATCTGTTTGTTTATTATCTTTAAACTTGAAATGCATACTTCTGTTGATCGGTTTTAGTATTCAACAATCAACCTTTATATTCGAATACCATCGATAGCCAATCGAAAAACCAACACTTGCATTTCAATCATTTTCCAAATCGAATAATAACGCTACGTTGAACGTTTTATAAACGACGGGTAACGATACCGTAAGTAGACGAGATATGCGCGTAGAAATTGAAAAACATGCCGTCGAATCTATATCTCGCTCGCGCTTACCTCGAAATGCTTACGTTGACGTCGATTACGGTTGTGTTCAATCAATTTTGCCGACTTAACATAATATGTATACTACGTGGACTTAAAATGCTTACCGGTGATCCTCGGCAGTTGTCCGATCTTAAGATTCTTGCCGGTGAACCCCGCTATCTCGGCACCGAGACTGAACCCGATCAAATGTATTTTGGACAGCTTGAACTTCCTGGACACCAGGTACTCGATGAACCTCGCCAGATACCGGGCGGCCACGCGCGTATTGAGCACCGCGTGACTGTACCACGGGAACGCGCACAGGGGACTCCAGTCGACTATTATGATATTCACTCCTCCCCGGTGCAAATACGCTGCGAACATTTATCGTTTTTCGATCAATCTCGGAACACTGGGAACCATAGCGCGTTCGTCTTCGGCGGACTGCGAATCGCCCACGTGCATACGCGCGTTAAATCCGTACCTTTTTTTATGGTCTCCGCGCCCTTGGAGTTACCCTGCTCCGTGAACCCGTGCACATAGATGACGGTGGTCAAATTTCGCATCATGTTTGCCTTATACAGCGAAACGTCGTTACCGATGTATATGCGTTTCGGACGGTACGGGTTGTTCCTGAACAACAGTATAATTATTGTTTTTCGATTATACATATTATTTTTTTTTCGTTTTCATTACTGCTAGTTGTTTAGGTAATACAAAATATAACGGTGACAGTAAAACGCACGTATACACGATCGTACATACGAACCCAAGCACCCACCCACCCACCCTGCACACACACACACACACACACACATGCTCGCTCACGCACACGCACACACCTAGAATATGAGAAAAATGCAATGTCCTCTTTTTCGTCTATTGGGCAACAACTTTCGCACCGACCTCTGGGCTTCATCGTTGCGGAATATGGATTTTTACCTGGAAGAGAAAATCGTAGTTTCACCGTTTTAGTCTACATCATTCGCAACATGTCGAACTCACCCCAAAACAACGTGAAAGTCATGCATGCCATCATGCCTAGGGCCACCATGATTAATTGGCATTACAGAACATCAATATCGTGATTCAACGTGCTACCTACACTGCAATACTGCGGTTTACGAACGTGGCGAAAAAAAAAAATAATAATAATAATAATAACAATAATAATACACTATGTCATGCGTAAAAAAAAAAAAACCAGTAGGTAAGAAAAAATTGTACTAAAAATTAAACGCCTATACGTGCACCAAGTAAGCACGCGTTAACTGAACGGAATACATTACTAAACGTTTCTTCGCTCGCAGGGCTTTCTCTGTGTGTTGTGTATATATTTTTTATCTCCCCCGCCAGCTCTTCTACCCCAAGGTCAAAGCTGATGGAAATTCGTAAATAATATTTTGACAACAATGGCAAATTCTCGCCAAACGAATACGCGCGCGTGTGTTTTTGTCCGTTACGATTATTCGACGCGAGTTTCATTATAATGTGCAAGTATCGAAAGAACGTTGCGAACCTTTCGGCCAAAAATTAATTATGAATAATATTGATATATAGGCTACGTTTAATAATAGTGTACATTGTAAGACTGGCAAACCGTTTGACCATTATTATTTTGCGTACGGTTTGGAACAAGAAAAAAACAACAACGACAGCCCATTCCTCGTCACATTTTCCGACACGGATTGTACTGGCATATAAGATTTTTATATCATACGTAACACTTGCGTTTGGCCAATGAATTGCTCCGTAAACTGTGTTTCGCATTGCCACTTATATGTAGGACACGTCATAGGTGATATGAATGCGGACACATTTGTACCACAATGCTCTAACGTGGATGATTTATGCGGCGATCGATGCACATTTTAAGGGAGGTTGGCATCATTTCAGTAGACCATAGCAAACCTTTGAACGAAATATGCACACATGTACTTACGAAAACATTTCCAGTGCGAGAGGGAGTGATTTAACATTTAAATAGCCCAAACTGACCCCCGTCATCCACCCCTGTCAACCACGTGAAACAGCTATTATGTACAACAGCATTTATGTTTAACTCTTAAATGCTAAAAACCATTGTAAATGAGTTACTCGTTCGAACTCACTGTTTTTAACCGGTTCACCGGTACCGGATGACGAGAACCGACTGCGGATCCATCCAGCTGTTGCGCAACGCAAAAAAATTCCTCGTGGATTACATTTTCTTTTTCAATTTTCGATGCCTATGTATATACGTATAAAATGTGATATTCTATTTTATTGTATTCGAATACATAACTAGTCCTTGACACGGACGTACGCATATTAGTATGTATTATTACTTACAAGCATGAGTTGGACCGACACAAAAACCATGTAATTCATGACCATATATAATGTTTCTTGTACCACTCGGGTCAGAAATATAATGCGTTTCTTATTGTACTGGAAACGAATTGAAACGCATCGCCCAAGTGCAGCGCTTGATCGTCACGGTACGGTGCGCGCGTTGTGGACTTCAAATATCCGGCTGGAGGGAGACGAAAAAAAAAATTAATAATAGTAAATAAATAACGGACATGCGTATACGCATTTCCGCGGTAATCACAAACGGCAAATTAAAAGAATTAAAAACAATTTGGCAACAGAACAATCCGGTACAAAGCTAAACACAGACTCATAAAGGTCAGGCGTATGTGTACATGAACGTGTCGTATAGATTTTCCACCAACCCGTAGACCGGAAACCGAATTCCGTCACTTTCAATTCGGTACAGGAAAGTCTTTAGGGTCTGGCCGTTCCCGACAAAACGATTTTCATATAATATCGATTTCTGTGCAATATGATAAATATAATTAATTTAAAATAATTATATAAATATTATTAACGTAGGGAATGTATATTTATGTAAATTAATGTCAAACGATAATTTGTTTGTCACGTGTAATCTCCGAAACTACTCATTCAATTACCATGCAGGTTTTTTTTAATGTTAGAGTATACCGTCGAAAAAGTTTGGGGCTTAATTTAATTTAATAACTTTTGTCTTGAGAAAAAATTACTTGGTAACTTGGACTGAGCTAAACGAAACAGCTAGTGTTATAATAAATCAATGTAAAAACATTTTTTAGTAGTAATTTCAGGCTTAAATCGTCTGCTACGAAACCGATACAACAGATATAAAATGTTATCAACTATTTTAATTAAATAAAAGCGATATCAGCCGTCGTTCATCTACTACAATTACGGTCGTGAAACACAATTTAACTGTTGAGGGAAAATGCATGACGACTTGTACTCCGTAAAGAACGCGTTTTACCAACATTTGGTTATACAACGTATTCTTTGAGGTGAGCTCGTAAACTTACCATAAAATACTATTATGGCATACTATATTTTTTTATTTGCACAATATTTTTTCAAAAATTTATGATTCGTGAAAAACGTTTCCTTCCCTACCCCTAACAACATCAAACGTGCCGTAGTAGTAAAAATGTACAACGACCGTGTGATCTTAAAAATCTAAAATAATAGATCTATTTTATTCGTATATTAAACGAACACACGCAAATTTGTTGTTCGCCAGCTGTACGCGCGATACTATGGTACTCGGAGGATTATCGACGACATGTGTTAGTCTCGTGTACCGTTGACTCGCGTGAATCACGTTAGAAGGAGATTTTAAACGCCGAGGGGATTAGACGGAATGCCGAGGGTCGCACATCGCGTTCGACTAACAAAAATGATGATCGTCGCATGCAGAAGCCGAGGCACCATCGAAAGGGACGTGGGACGTTTTTCCACCACGTTTCGGTGTACTTTTCGCTTGCATCGGGTGCAACGCGAAGCGCGACGTCCTTGCGCGAAAATCGGCGTGGCACGGGGCGCGGACGAAAACAACAATCGAAAAATATCATAAAAAAAACGCTCCGCCACCGATTTACGACAGTTCATTATCGTTTAGCACGGTGAATAATTCGACAACACACGCACACACAATTTTAATAATGAAAAATAATAATGGAATCGCTTCCGTCGTGGAAATCCATTTGACACGGCTGGTTTCGACACTGCATCTCAATGTTCGCGTACGATATCGCATTGCAATGTCCGCTATAATTTACTGCACCGCACACGATGCATGGCTTTGATGGACGACGAGGTGCTGATATATGGATATTATTAATTTATTCCCCGCCTTCTGCGATCCTCTTTTCCCACCAGGCCGACGATTACAATTCGTCCGAATCGATATCAAAGCTTGACCGCAATGTTATTATTATAATTATTGTCGGAACGATACGTTATCTTATGCATAATACCTACAGAGTATTATCGTGTGCACTTGATATTCCACATGTATGAATACGATAGTTGAATTGGCCAACCGGAGCATCGTATTACGTATAATTCACGTACGTGAAAACTAATGTTTATCAATACTAGGCGATTCGTTGGTCAGTGTTAGCCGTTGGGGACTCGCGATTGTGTTCAAAGTGAAAATATCAAACATGCGGCCAAACGTAATTATGATCGATAAAATAAGGTTTCTCGCTCGTGGCATAAAGTTCGAAAGCCAATCCAATAACTGATGTTTAAGTAGTATATAATTAAATTTCAGTACCTACGTTGTAACAGTAATACTGTGTTATACGTAGAAAGTAGATACTTAAAGAGTTTAACCTGATGAATCTCTTCATATTGTAATTTTTATAGCATTTAAGAGAAATGTGTGTACTGTTTAAAATAAAAAAAGTTTTTCTCCAAAAGCATACGCGAAAAAAATGTTTCTGATTTAGTTTAAATTAGGCTCGAGGCTTGAATATTATATGGAAACCTTTAAATTATATGATTATCGTGTCGAAAGAAGGATACAACCCCCTTACCCCTGAAATATCAGAAAAATGTTATAAAAATATGACTTAACCTGCAAATGTAATAGTTATTTTAAAGTTTCCCGTGAAACTAGCGAATAAAATTTATAAATATATACATAATGAGTTATAAAGAATAATATTCATTGACAGTGTACATTTTACATTTGTTCCACCCCTACCTCTTGACATTTTTTCCTGCATTAGCCCCTGATGTACTTTTATACAGAAATAGGATAGCGAACTATGTATAATCCGGATTATAATCAAATTGATGTTATTATTGTTACGTGTGTAGGTTATTATACGAGGCGATTTGAAGTCTCCGGACGTTTTTTTTTCTTTTCCCGAACTTCCAAATGTTTAAAATGCCGTCAAGCTGTCACTTCCAAACATTAAATGTATCTTTCCGTAAGCCTTTTGACGTCCGCGATGAGTGCGCGCCCAATCATTTCCGTCAATAATTTGATTCGTATCTTCTCTTTCGTCTTTGAACGGTTCTGTGAACATTTATGCGGTACGAGACGTTCTTTGCCGGTCTAGTCCATGTACGTCTAAACTGCTATTTTTGCTTTTTTCATCGACTTCACATCAAACTAATTGGATATTATTACAACCTGTGCATTTTATAAGAAATTTTCACTGGGCGACAAAAAATGTTTTTCTCAAAATAGTCAATGTATAATACACAGTACGATTATAGTATTACACGTTTGTTTCACATTATTTCGCCCAATCTTTTAAGATACTGTCAACAGAGTATAATCACTGGACGACATTTTTATCGCCTAGTTAAATAGTTAAAAAATGCACCGATTTCAATTGAATCCTATTATCACATGAGCGTTTGATGTAGTGAATTTACGAGTATATATCAGATACAATGAAATAAAATAATGCCATTTGTTTGAGCTTGATCGAATGTTATTTGCAATTGTCTATTTTATTTTCTAACGATTTAGATGCATGTTTGAAAATCACAGAGATGATTGAAGTGAGTATATAGAGAATCGGACAAACCCACGTTTCAAAAACGAAGTGTGGATAAAATAATTGTTCGTCTCTTACATGAACTCTGATTCTGTCCATACAGGTTTCACTACGTACATTTTCATTGGAATACGCGAATACCTGTTTTCATTCCGCTACACCAGTATTATAATATGTATTTGTTTTACTATCGATTTTTGCGTTGGCCAATCGACATAAATAGTAATAAGATCAATATCAAAGATATTAACAAAACTCGTATTTTTCTTATTTTTACTTGACCATCATGTGTATAAAGAGTATCGTTGTCGATCACGCTGTTTAAAAGACGCATCCAAATCGGTAACAGCTGCCTCCTCATTACTGTAATATTTGATACGTATTATATATTATAATTATATAAACAAATATTTATTACATAGCCAATTGATTAATTTGAACGATTTGGTTACATGAAATTATGTTTCACTTATGTTTTTACAGGACAAACTGTTGAACAAACTTGATGAGAAAGAACAAGACGAGGCGAAAACGCCGGAAGAAGAGGTGAGTCCGAAAACGATAATTCTATACTTATCTTGTATACTATATACCCTCTGTCACCGTTACTTTTATACACACATACATACACACAAATACTATTCATATATAAGTATGTAATAAAAAGGACAAATATTTTTGTTTTGTCTGATAAATTTTTAATCGTTTAAATGTACCGGCTGTAAATTAAACTCGGTCTATGACGCTATATCGGAAATGTTCTCAATACTTTATCACAGAGCTGTCTTCTCCGGAGTTTTTCAGATATTGTTTTTATTCATTCGTTAGATAAAGATAACATACATGCATTTTGAATGGTCTTCGTGAACGCAAAATACAACTAATACCCTATACCATATTATATGATATATTCCTCTCTTCGATTATCTTCTCGCATTATCCTGGTTTTATTTATCGAGCTGTGAAAATAGAATTTGATTTATACATAAAACTATAGTACGATTGTTTCTGATACGTTTTTTTGGTCCTCTAAGTCACGATATAGAATCCAATACTATACATTTTACTTTATCTATGAAATACCGGTCCATCCTGCTAAATCCTGCGCACCAATTTCAAATCGACAGCATATTATATTATTATTACAGCATTATATTTATAAAAACAAATCTTTTACTCTTCACCGGTATATATACGACGTGTATAGCCAACAAATAAAAGCCACAAATAAAAACCTATTGACTACAGTACCAAAAATCACACTCCGGAGGCTAAAAATGTTAGAAAATGAAGCACTCGGTGTAAAAATATAAAAAACAACCTTTGACTCTAGAACGATGCAAGACAATCCAATTTAATATAATATAATATTTATTGTCATATTCTTTAAGACTCAACATCAATATAATAATACATACACGTATTTACTCGAATAAAAAATATCATCGTGTTTTTAGTTTATTATTATTTACTATCTAGATATCATGCGTTACTGAGCTTTACTATTCTTTTTTTTATTAATTCCTATTTTTGTTTCGTACTAGAAAAACACATAGTATGAAATGAAGTCCTCCTGCTTTGTTCGTCGAATATTGTGCACGGAAAATATTGTATACATAAGGCGTATGTGTACACTGGGTGTAGCATAAATAAAAAAAAGTTGCATTATTAACGATAAATACATTTTAAAAATAATCGACTTAATTCTACACTTTTATTTGGCTCGTATAAACACGTTTTTTATAACGTGATGCAAAAAAAAAAAAAAAAATAAAATAGACTTAAAGCAAATATAAATTGTTTATCAACATATTTTTCCAATGTTATTAGTATTTTTATTTGTCGAAGCAAAGAAGTGTTTACTAATGAATTTTATTAAACTAGTTTATGCTAATGGCACATTGACATAAATTTAAATACTCAACTGGATCAACAAATTAGAATCTAATTATTAGATCATCAAATATAATTAAAATCAATTAAAAATCAATATTGCGATTAATTAGAACGCGTATTTTATTGTTGTTTCACCCTCATGCTTTGGTATCAATCGATGTCAACAGTTAACAGTTATGTACAAATAATCGGCTGTTAATTTTTTTATGTTTTTTTGAAGAGAAAAAAAACTAATGTGATGGGTGACATATAATTTAAACAAAAAGTAGATTATTAAGATGTATGAACTACATGTGTATAAAAAATCTTTGAAGTTCTTCGTTTTAATATCAAAGGTAGAGCTTTTTTCTTCAAATTTTACGACTGTTTTCATCTTTAAAACATGTATCATCTCGTAAAAAATACTATTTTATTCAATATCAAGTCAATCCTAATAAGAATATGAAACTAATACACATTTAGGAAAATCAGTGAAAAATGAATATTGTTAGGTTTTATCCTCAGTACATTTATTATCATGTGCGATTTAGAACCACTGGCGCATTGTTTCGGCTATTTTTACAATCAAGCGACTACCATATGAAACGCGCGTTTTCGTCCGTTTGACCGTTTCGATTCCGTTTCATGTAGACACGCTCAAATAGGAATAGTTATTGTTATATCACGTACAGGCAACATCAAACAATGCAACAAGTCTTAAGGTTGGCATACATTTATTTATTTTACCGTACTAAGATTTATATACAACAATATTAATTAATAATTTAACACGAAAAGGAGGGATCCGCATTGACGATGAAAATGATACGCCTAATGGGTTCATTTAACAAATAATTCGTTGAGGATAGTGGCATGAAAAAAGGGACTGAATGTCGGATAAATCTTTGAGATATTTTAAAACTAATCAGGGATAGAAGAGTAGGTGATTTAGATGTGCTGTGGCGCATAGCTTTTGAATTTTGTCAGAATAGTTAATGTACACTTGACTACGTTTCATTTTGTTGTAAAAACCCTTGCTAACTGTTATTATTGTCATTATCGGTATACGTGAAATAAGTTTTGAGATGCATAACGTGTGAGGTCGTGTTATTTCGAGTACAGACACCATATGGATGACCAAACATTGTAAATTCGATCGCCACGCTATGCATGCCAAAATTGATTTCATTGATAATAGGGGTTGACGGTAGTATTTGTTTCGTACAAACATGAAATATTTATAAGCGGTGAGTATAAGCGGTCAATATAATATTAGCTGCCGGTTTAGTTTCTCGAAACAGTGATGTCTGGTACCTAATAATGATGAAAAAATTTCGGATTAGCCGAAATTCGAAAATCCGTAATCCGTATTTTACTCTAAAATCAGATTTTGATGGTTTTAAATCCGAATTTCAGAAAATTGAAATTGAAAAATTGAATTAATATTATTTTATATATGCCTAAAAATAAAAACGTTGATAATTATAAATATTTTGTAATAAATTGATTTTTTTCGTTAAAATACAGAAATCCAAAATGTTAAACTCAAAATTTGGATATTGAAATCCATAAATCCGGATTTGTTGGATTTTCAGAAAATCCGGATTTAATTTCTATTACTCTATTGTAAAAATTTATAGACTTTATCAGTATTAACTTTTATTTAAATCGCTGAATATTTTTTGCACATGTTTTTCATAAAGATAAAAAACGCACTTAAATCATATTTTTTCTTTTTTAACGCAATCATGAAAGTAGATATGAGGTCAAGAAGATAAAAAATTACTGATTTAATCATGTATCAATGCGAAAACTGGACGTGAGGTTATTCCCAACGATCTATCAATTTTCATTCATATAAATATTCAAATAGGGCATGTATTGGTAATTTGAATAATTCTAATGCTTCCGTAATATTAAAATAATTACATTAGTTTTCCTTCGATTGTTCTTGGTTGTTATTTTTTCGTTTCCTTATTATCCTAACCTTAAAATATGCACTTCGGTGCATTATAGTTACAAATTAATTATAAGTGCTTAGTTATTTAAAAATGTAACATCAATATTTTATAATACAACAATACAAATACATTTACCCATATTTCAAAATATAAATGATGTTCAGTCGTTTGACGTGTAATTTGTATTAATATAATTATTTGTATTTCATATTAAAATATCTTTACCATAATCAAGATTAATTATCTACCTTATTATATACTATAGCTGTCAAATATGGTCTGCCGTGTCGTAATTCAAATTTACACACCATAAATGTTGTTTTCATATAAAATAATACGGGATAACATTTCCACACATTTGCCCAGAAAATCGATGTTTTATAATTTTCAGAAGACATATTTATCCGTTTTGAAGGTCAGATCCATCCCATTTGCGTTTTCGGAAGATTGCGTAAATCCAGTGCATCGCACATTCAAGCACGTACTTAATTTTAAGTCAAGAATGTTATGTACATTTAAGATGCGACTCGGTAACATTTTACTTTTTCGTTTGTTATTCTTTTACAAACGTAAACATTTGTTTTAAAAAAGATTTACAACTCACTGAATATTACAGTCAATCGTATTTTATCACTCTCGATCACTGAACTCTTTCCCTTCTAACTGCAAATAAAAAACACCATCTTTCTGTAATAAATCAAATAAAAAGTATCTGCTTACACACTTTGATGGATTCGAAAACACAATTTTCGGCCATGCTAACGACTGAATTTTCTTATGACTATTTATTTAAAAAAATATAATTATACTATATTATATTATAATTATATGATGCAATAATATCAAATTAAAAAAACCGTTGAAAGTTAAATCTTAACAAATTTTTATTTTTTACGTTATTTAAAATATAAAACTACATAATAGCTAATTGCTAATAACATTTATAAAGTGTATGTAATTTTTCGGTCTAGCCAATGTACAATTGTACAATATTGTGTAATCTAACATTTGAAAATTTATCCTGTATTAAGTTCTTCAAACATAAGAGTTTTAGATATTTTAATATGAAATATTAAAAATATAATATTATGAAATAAGAATCACTATATTTTTTACCTTTTGGATAGAATTATTTTTTTGATTCATATTGAAAAAATTGAAAATATTTATTTTTAAATGAGTCTAACTATTTCATTGAGTACAAAAGTATATATAACATTTTTATAATAAGTTTATATTTTATTTTTAAGTTTATAAAATTTTATTTGAGCACAATTTATATAATTCTTAACTATGTTTATGCTTAAAAATTGATTAATTATAACACATTTTTCTTCAATACTTCATTTTGAGAAAATATTTCAAAGAGTATATTATTACTTACGTGATTACACTTTACCGAATAAAAAAAAAAACAATTTTTTCGACATGAGAAGTAATTAGTGATTGGAACTGTATTTATTCATTTTTTTTTTTAGAAAAATAAGAAAACAAATAACTCATCGAGTTGCTGGCTAGCCGTGACATGGTTTGATAACTTGCAATAAAATAAAATGGTATTGATTATTCCCGAAAGTATAATTATATAGTCTATTAGTCTTGGCGTTACACAGTTTTCGACTAAAGGAAATAATAATGATTTAATATAAACATGTATATTAAACACAAAGGAAAACGTCATACATTTAAACACACACTCGCACACGCACA